CAGGAATGAGTATTCAAGGGTCCACGATTTGTCTCTTTGTTGCAAAAAACGTCGCGCTCCGCACTTGGGGAGCCTTGGGTGCGTTATGAGATTGACATCCAATTCGTACTATTTCGAAATAGTAGATCAAGTGTTGGCGGTGGGTGCTATTGTATAGCTGCCTTCTATCAAGTATATCGGTTCCAAATTAGCGAAGGCTGGCGCAAGAAGCCTCTGTGCAGCTTTTCGCTAATATCCTTGTGCTATATTATTTGTCTAAATCTAAAATTTTATATTAAATATCAAGTCCAAATTCTAATATATATTCTTTTATTTCTTTTATTCGCGCACTTGTACATTTATATTGAATGGGCGTCCGCAGAGATTTTTCCAGGGGGAGGGACAAAGTAGTTTGAAATTGCGAAGTGAATAAATAATTCATATACATATGCTGAATGAATAAAGAAAGAACTGTTTTTCATTTTCCGGGGGGGGGGCAAATGCTACCTTGCCCCCCTGCTGACGCCCATGTTATCTAGCCCATTTTCATTTCAAACTCTGAATCTATTAAATAGTTTTTTCGTCACCAATCATGTTCCTTTTTGGAATCTTACTTTTGTGTCTTTTTTTTTTTTTTCGTTTACATCGTAATCAATATTTTTGTTATTGTCTCAGTCTAAACATTTGCGCTTATGTCTTACCTGATAAGGAAACTCCATCTTTTACTGAACAGGTTTATTCATCCTTTACTAATAATAAAAATTCAAATAGAATCAACAAGCAAACAACTTGCTGTGAAAATGTATTCTTAAACAAACTTTTAACGATATCACAGGTAAAGGTAAACGGAAGCGAAGCGAAATAAAAGTTGTTCGCAGTATATCGACATCGTGTCGTATGTGTACTCTAGTCCATACCCAGGAATAACATGTGAGGTAACATCGAAACAGTTTCGGAGAGTTCGATATAAGAAAAGTAAAAATAGAGCCGTGCGACTAACGTCGTTTTGTTTAACGGAAATATTTTATACGAAAATTCAATTGAAAGTTAAGTTTAAGCTTAATAGTGTTAACGCTTTATTTAGTTGTGAAAGGATAGTAGAATGTTATAAAGTTTTTAGTTATAAAGTGATTGTGGCATGTTCTGGTGGTTAGGACACACGACTTGCAAACTGCGGGTCATTGGTTCGAATCCTGTCACGTAATATGCTCGCCCTTTCAACCATGGGGGCGTTATAATGTGACAGTCAATTCCATTATTTGTTGGTAAAGAGTAAAGTGTTGGTGATAAGAGGTGTTGACTAGTTTCCTTCCATCTAGCCTATTATTGAAAATTATGGACGACTAGCGCAGATGGTTCTCGAGTAGTTTTAGCCAAAGTTGAACAAACAAAGCAATGTTTCAGCAACATCGTGCTGAATAAAAAATAATGTCCTGACCAAAAATTAGTAGATGAAAACCGCCTTCGCTGGGGAGTGATATCACAGATCTCCAATTTTTTACATGAAACTACTAATCTCCTGAAGTTCTGGGAAATATACATCTTGTTATTTATACGTGTGAGAATTCCGGGTGAAGAAGCTGCAGGTTCGTGACAACGCATTCGGGAATAGAATGTTTACTTTTATAGTTTCCTATGTGGGTTTATGTTCTATTGGCTTATCAGCTCGAAAACATTGTTTTTTGTTTTGTCTTTCACTTCACTGGAAAAGAATAAATGTAGAATGGCATAGCAACGAAACTCGTTTCACGGAATTAAGTCCTGTATAAAATACAGTGAATCTACCTCTAAAACATCGTTAACAGAGATGGTATCGCATCTGATGAAAAAGTGCATTATAATCTTTATAAATAAGAATACTATAATTTACTTAGCTCTACTCTTTACCGAGTTGATTTCTAGTGTTGATGTAGCTTGCTTTAATCAGTAGTTACTAGTCACATGTAAGAGAATAGCACCTGCATGACAATGCTCTGTTACCCTCCCTATGAGTGTACCCCCAAAATCATCAATCATATAACAGCTAGAAGGAAGGTTATACACACAATACACATACATATAAAAACATATATATATAGTTAATGTTAATCATTTAACACTGGTATTAACACTTACTGATAACACTATATTAACGTTGAAATGTTAAAAGCATCAATACTAGTGTTATAATTGACACATTTGTTAATTATTTAAAATGTTCATGTGTGTAAATGGATAAATACGTTAATACAACTAGAAACACTTTGTTTTATTATTTGAACATGTTGAAATGTTAATAGTGCTGAAAATAATGTATGTGTTTTTTTTTAATCTGACACTTGAAAAGTCTTTCTTCTTTCAGCACTTGAGATATAAAACTTGATGAGCTTCTGGCAAAATGCAGTGCAGTATCACGTGTTTGTGTGTTTAGTTATACTTGAAATTTCAACAAGTCAATATAGAGCATGCAGCATTAATATAGAATATCTATCAGAAGACTAATTAAGTTTCTTTCACCTCAGTTACCTTATAAACTTGGTCATTCATCTGAAATGTCACATACATTTTCTAGTAGGAAGCATTCGTGTAAAGTGGAGTGTATTCTATCGAAATAGATAATGATCTTTTCCACTGGTAGGTCAGGTGGTACTCAAAGGAAATAAAATTCCTTATTTTGTAGTGACTGTGACTATTATTCAGATGGGTACTGCCTGCGGTTTGAGAAGAATTATATTGTTGATTTTATTGTATAATTATGTTTTTTCAGTCTGTAACGTGATATGAGAGATTTTAACAGATATTGATCTGCTTTAAATATACTCACTAAATATACACTTATCTATTTGTTTGAAATCAAAATTATTTCATTATGTTGTAGTCCCCCAGTGGTACAGCGGTATGGCTGCGGACTTACAACGCTAGAATCCGGGTTTCAATACCCGTGGTGGGCAGAGCACAGATAGCCCATTGTGTAGCTTTGTGCTTAATTACAAAACAAACAAACAAACATTGTGTTGTATATTGTGTCCAGTCTCTTCTTTGCCTCAAACTCGGTCGATATTAGAGGATCCAAATTCACCCCCAAAATTTTTTTGCCATCGAAACCGATTGTTATCCTGCTGTTCCTACCTGTTGAATTAAAAAAAAATCGGTGCACATGAAAATACCAGATGGACTTTAGTGGACTCATCGTATAAGCTTAAATAAAGTACTAGAACGTACATCAGATTGATAATTAAATAAAACACTATTACAAATTAATTTCGGTTAATTTAGCCTCTAACAGAACTGTGTTTTACGACTATGTCTCACCAATAATCGTCAAAATATTTATTTTAGTAAAATATCATTGATAGAAGAGAGTAGTAGCTTCAAACAATGCCACTTACTGAAAAAAATCAAAATTTTGAAAGTTTGATATCCATAAATGAGCCTATGATTGTTAGATTGTTTTAAACCTACTACTCTTTCATGACACCTTACTAAAATAAATGTCTTGTCGATAATTATTGAGGCTCCCTTTAATAACCCAATTTTACCCATATAATGTATCGAAAACCCGAACTATGGAAACAGTTACTATACATATAGTAAATGTTAGATCTATTACTAATCGTAATGTTATAGCTAATACGGCTGCATAGCATGTAACGACTAATCCATATATTGAATTATATAGACTTGTATAGTGAAATATGACAAAGGTAACATTAGAAAAAGTGTATGCATGTTTCCTTCTTTAAAATGTTAAGGTCTAAATTGGCCCATAGTTAGAAGCTTGGGCCAAACGAAAAACCACAGCTGAAACTAAACTAAGAATCTTTGGAATTGGAATAATATGAATGAATTTTACAGAAAATGCAATACTTACCACCGATAGATTTAAAATATATAAAAATGTCTTTGTTTTCCTTATGCTGCTTGTTATAAGGATTACAATATGATGACCGGTGGCTTCTGGATGTCCTCACTCTGTGATGGATTGTATCCGCATCGACCAAAAACAGTGTTGGAATGACCGCCATTATACTGACACTGGTTTAAAATTTTAATTTTTTGTTCTGTTTCTTACAAAATATATCGTAAAGTTTATGGCTTCTATCAACCGGAATCTAAAAAAAATCTAATTGAAAGTTTTCTATCACGTCTAGATTTCCAGAGACCAAACATTTAGTTTTGTCTGTGTAAAAAAATTATTTGGTTGGATTATCATGATTATATTAAAAAAAATTCAAACAAAGTAACCCGATCACTAAATTTGTTTTTACAGTATACAGTGAGACATGTACATATTATGGGAACTTAAACTATATGAGTTTTCATGGCTAAAAGTATGTAATAAAGAAACTTCCCGAAGAAAAATTCGTAGAACAAAATTTTTAAACTATGTTCAATCAAATGACATGACATTTCGAATAATAGAACCTTCGTTATTCCTCATGGAAGTGGAAAAGTACACCAGAGCGCATGGGACAGCAAGGGCCGCGGAAAAACACCCCAAAAAAATTCAAACAAAGTAACCCGATCACTAAATTTGTTTTTACAGTATACAGTGAGACATGTACATATTATGGGAACTTAAACTATATGTAATACAAAGAAATCAAATACATTTTATTCAAATGAGTTTTTATGGCTAGAAGTATGTAATAAAGAAACTTCCCGAAGAAACATTCGTAGAACAAAATTGTGAAACTATGTTCAATCAAATGACATGACATTTCGAATAATGGAACGTTCGCTTTTCCTCGTGGAAGTAGAAAAGTACACCAGAGCGCATGGGACAGCAAGGGGCGCGGAAAAACACCCAAACCTAACCTTTAGCAACACCCTAATCAGCGAAGTGAAGGGTGAGTAGCGAAAAATAACTTTCCGACCCGACAAAATATTGCGATAAAACTCTCTCTCTCTCTCTACATATATACTTTATGTAACAAAATAAATAAATAAAAAAAAACGATAACTTGAAGCGGTCGAAGGCACACAGCACACAGATATCCTGTGTTCATTGAATAATATTTTATTTCCCTTTTCTTTGGTAGGTAGTTTGTGGTGCCGCAGTCATAGACGATTAGACATCTGGAAGAATGTATGTACTTCACTGATATTTATCGGAAGAAGAGAGTGTTAATTAAGTATAGTTCCTATAGAAGTTTGGTCTGAAAAGGATCTTCGTAAGTTCCAAAGTCCTCTATCTGGACCAATAATAAATGTTAATAGCAATGAGAGCCTGAAATAAACTCGAGTTGCTGGCTCACATTTTATGGGTAACTGCTTTGTGCCTTAGTTATAAAACATAAAGTGTAAACTAACTTTACGTTGAACCTTCATACAAGATTATCAGACTACATTCCTCAGGGTAACGATGAAATTCGCAGATATAGAACAAGGTGAAGTTTTAAGCGAACTTCCTATTTGTGATAAAAACGAAGAAACCGAACAGAATATTAACGAGGCTCAAAGATTGACGCCCTATTCATCAGGAGATTTTGAAAACATAGCCAGGACCGAAGGATGTGCTAAAAGTCTGTCTTCGAACAAATGCGCAGGACTTGCAAGTGTTAACGGACGACTTTTATCCAAAAATAAACAGTCGAAGATATTACCAGGCCGCCACAGAAAGAGACTGATATTGAAAAATGGATCCGCCAATGTCATCGCTAAAAACGTAGCAAAGAGACGACAGCGTTATCTTCAGGATCTTTTCATAACGTTAGTTGACATACAGTGGAGATGGAACTTGTTGGTATTTTCAATGGGGTTCATTATTACGTGGTTATTTTTTGCCATTATCTGGTGGCTAATCAACTATTCTCACGGGGACTTTCTCCATATGAATGATACCAATTGGGAGCCTTGCGTTCATAATATAAAGTCTTTTACGTCAGCGTTCCTGTTTTCATTGGAAACTCAACATACCATAGGTTATGGTTCCCGATATGTCAATGAAGAGTGTCCTGAAGCCGTCTTTGTTTTGTGTCTTCAGTCTATCACTGGAGTTATGATTCAATGTTTTATTGTAGGCATGGTTTTTGCCAAGTTTTCTCGTCCAAAGAAACGTCAACAAACTCTCATGTTCAGCCAGAATGCCATTGTCTGTCTTCGTGATGGTAAACTTTGCCTTATGTTCCGTGTCGGTAACATGCGAAAGTCGCCCGTGATTGGTGCTCAAATCAGTCTGCACTTAATAAACAGAAAAACGACAACAGAGGGTGAAGTTATCCCTTATTATCACTCCCAGTTAGATATTCGTCACGACAGTGCCAGTAACAGTTTTTTTCTGTCGTGGCCAGTAGTGGTCATCCACGAGATTAATCAGCATAGTCCACTATACACCATGTCAGCTGAAGAACTTATTCTAAAGGACAAATTCGAACTAATAGCTATTTTAGAAGGGACTACTGAGTCAACCGGTCAGTCCTTCCAAGCCAGGTCCTCTTATCTTTCTCAGGAGATTGTATGGGGCCATCGTTTCGAACAAGTAATATCCTACTGTAAGGAAACTGGTGACTTTTTGGTCGACTACGGAAAATTTAACAATACCTATGAAACGGAAACCCCACTGTGCAGCGCTAAGCAGTTCTACGAATTTCAGAGGTCTTTCAGCATGGATTGTGAAAGGTACGAAAACCATAACAAGACAAGAGATCAAATGAAAACCACAGGCTCACTCCGTAAACCCGTTTTTGACATTATAGAAAGTCGATCCATTAACTCCACCGAATAATGCTGAATTCAAGAATTTCTGGATAAGCATTATTATTATTAATTACCCTAAATTAATAGTGATGTAACTTTCTGCTATACCAATATTCGTTTTGGCGGTTTTTTTAGCCGTTTATAACATGAGAGATTGTTTTGATAATTTTTCATTTTTGGAATGCATTTTTATGAAATAGGTTTCATTTATCAAGACTACTTGCTTTTATATTTAATTGTTTTGCTAACGCTGATAAGGAATTTATATTTTACGTTTCAACTCTTCAGTTACTTTACATAAAATATATTTTTGTCGCTTTTTATTTCTTGCCAGCGAAAACAATAACCGAATCTCAACGGATAGAACACACATAGTGTATACTTAAGATCTAAGGAAAGCGTTTGAAGTACTTGGTTATATATTTCCTACGTAATCATAATTTTAAGGAACCAAAAGTTGATCAATTTTTCAAAACTACTGCTGTTTAAGAATACTTGCTGAGCAGCAGAAACACAATTTGGGATCAGTAATATACATATACTTTTGAATAAAGTATCTACAAAATCGACGTGTTGGTTATTTTGAATTGTATAACAAAACAAAGGACCATTCTAAACTATGAGTTTGACGAGGAAAGCCATTTAGAAGAGTGGATTTTTTTCATCCAACAAGCTGATCCCTAGATATTGAATAAATAATTCATCTCTGCACAAAGGACAATCATATTAGAAATATAATTATAGATCTGTGCGAAAAGTCATGACTTTATTTGTATTTTAGTTATATAAATTAGTTTTACTCTTTCCTATTGGGGAAAGTTCAAATTAGTATCATTTAAATATAATTATAGATCTGTGCGAAAAGTCATGACTTTATTTGTATTTTAGTTATATAAATTAGTTTTACTCTTTCCTATTGGGGAAAGTTCAAATTAGTATCATTTAATGCATTTTAACATAGTTATCAATATCATAGTAATGATAGTATTTATCATATTGATTCAACTTCACTTTTAGTTCAGTGAAATCAATGAATATATTTATTGTTTAGTTGTGTTTAATTTATGATTACATTTTCCAGGTTCCAACCAAAAACAAGACTTGTGTGGACAGATTAGTGAGATGTAAATACTGCTACTAAGATGTTTTTATGCGTACAGTATTCAAGAAAGAACAAATATATTCAAACCAGATACAATGAAGTTTCATTTGAAATTAGATATCAAATCAATGTGAGAGAAATAACGTTTGATGTTTATCAATTTAAACGTGAACAAAAGAAGTAATCGTCAACATTGGAATATTAACTGCTCGATATTTGTTTGCTTCCCAAATGAACAATACTTTTTACTGCTGTTTATTAGTTAGTAAAACAAAAATATTTATAAGCAATGAAGATTAAATGTTTGAATCTTGTTCGTTAACACCTTAAGCAAATAGGATCATTTCTGTTTTTGGTATCTTGTACGTCTTCTTGTCTTCTGTGATAAAGTAGTTATGTTGAGTAAACCTGCTTCAAAACGACCAATGAGCGGTATCCGCGAAGGATATGAGAAGGAAGTGATAAGGGATATAATTATCTACCTACCAAGACATGTTCCTATTAGTAGCATTCTACATCGTTTTCTAGTTATTTTGAATCGGATATTGTAAAAATAACGTTAAATCAAACAATAAAATATAATCCCAAACAGGATGTCCTTTACAATTCTATCAAAAATTTTTGCAGTAGCTTAAATATTTGTGAATCATGGGCGTAAAATGGGAATTTGTTTTTGGCAGTTATAAAGTAGAAACTTGTTACATTAGGTCATTTGCATTTAAACTTTTAAAAAGCTATGTGGCATCAATGAAGAAGTAAAAGAAAAAAGAATTTGAAAAGTAACGAAACCTTATTTAGTCAACTTAAAGCAGGTAAGTAAAGTTTTAGTCTTCAGCTAACAACAGGTCATTTGAAAGATATTACAGGAAGAGAAATACTTTGAGTTATGGTTGAGTGTAAAAGATCTTAGTTTATAAGATTTTACTCTCTATTAAGTAATGTTTACGTGTTTATTTAAGGCATAACTGTTTTTAAAAATGTACATATTATCGATATCTTCTAATAACTGGATTACTGAACACAGAATTAGAAGTTATATAAATTCCAGATTTTATAATAATGCCTGGAGAATATTAATGAATTTCATTTTGCAGCTATAATGGGTTCACTTTCTGGAACTTGTTATTATACATAAAATGTGTTACTGGTCTTTTGTGTTAGCCGGCATGCATAGTTAGTTATAATGTGTACTTCTTTAATTAACTGAATGACCTGAACTGAAATGTTCCTCTAAGTTGACAAGCGAATCAGTCCGCGAGTTTTTCTGAGTGAGAAGAATTCTTAATTCAAGAAAAATAATAATTAATATTACATGGTGTTAACAATTTATTGTATGATATGTTTGTGCACTTATCTCTCATTGCTATTTGGGTGTTACAGAAGGTAACACAATTGGAATGAGAGTGTTTAGTAAGTGTTGTTTTGACCATCGTTCAGTGAGCGAAAATGCTGTTTAAAATTATCTAAAACCATTTTGCACAGACGTAGTAGCAAGTAGTTCACTAAATTGACCCTCTTTATTTTCTCTACCTACATTTTCACATTTCATGTAATTATCCTGAAAATAAGTAAAGTGTTTTTTTCTCTATTCATCTGCAGCTCGGACATAAAGTTTAACGTTTCTAATCATACAAAGAACTAAAACATTTAAAAGTTGTGATTAAATCCACTTTCGGCTCAACTCTTGTTCTTTACTGAGCGACATGGAACAGCTTAAAAACGATTATTTGTTTAAACTCATACTTGTGTTCCAGAAACTTGGAAAAGATCGTGTAACACAAGTTCTAATTATGTTGTCGTCACATATAAATATCGTGATATGTAGAAACATATTTTCAGGGACCAAGAATGTTTCGAACGCTAACCGTGTTAAAACAGTAAATTTTGATTCTTGTCACATTTTAATACAATATTACAGTAACAGTAATATTATTAAAGTTACAATAATCAATTAATTCAATGAGTTTTTTATACACTTTCAATCATATGTATTTTATATGGATTTTGTATAGAATATTTTATACTTTTACGTACTTGTAAAAAGCTACATTAAGGTAACTTTACAAAGTTTGCAAAAAAACAAAAACAACTTAGCAAATATAATTAAGTGTAATGTTTTTTATACCAAGATGAAGAATTTAATTACGTTTTTTGTACCTTTTCACAAAGTACTAAATATTGTTAGTTATTTTTGGAGTTTTTATACACAGTAGTAGGTGCTTTCGTTTTTGCAAAGAACGTGAATTTATACGGTTCAAACATTCTATGCTTATATATATTTTTTTATCATAAATGATTTTTCAAGTTTTTCTTAAATTGTTATTTCAATGAACTTGATAACTATAACTAAAAGGTATTTTTTTGACATTTTTAGGTTTGAAGTTTATACTATTTTATTATCCGTAAAAATTGTAGTTGTTTTAATAGACATTTAACGTTTAATTTAGATTCAAATATATATATTAATCTTTAATTCTCATTACTTCCAGAACTCTTACTATATAGTTACGACCCAATACCTTGTAAAAACTATCTTACGTTGGTCTACCTTTGACAAATATCATTACATTGTACTTCCTACTCAGAATTGTTAATATCTTTAATGCTTATTATTTTGTTTTGTATTTACACAAGATTTAATATGAAAAAAGTCACATTCCTTCATTTTCTTTTCATTGTAATACGGTTGTATCTTTTAGGGAGTAAATAAATATTTTGAGAAGTGTGTCAATCTTTATTTTAAAACGATTACACTACATAAATAATGTAATTAAAGTACATTTTTTCTTTTTATTCTCTACTTTAGTGGTGGTTCAATGACCGTATTATATGTACAGTATTTTCGATTTTCTACTTCTTGTGAAATATTTTATTTTACTGACTTTTACGTTATTTAAATTGTTTCATAATACTTTTCTTACGATATGAATCGTATTGGTGATTTAAAGTTGCATTGAAGGTGCAATTTACACGAAAACACAGCGTAGCAAATAACAATTTTTATCTCGCAGAGAACGCAACCTCTCTGTACTTATTTAAAAGTTTTAAAGCATTTTGTTTATCTTAGGATGAATCGGAAAATTAAATTTTAAAATAAACCTAACTTGATACGAATGATAAAAAGTCGTTGTAATACATGCAAACGTAAAAAATTTAATATAAGGCTTGGTGATTACCGCTCGTTTCAATTAAAACTCTAAATATTATTTTTCTAACTTAAAAATAAAGATAAACAAATATTGGATGAGTAGTCTCAAAGCATATAGACTTGAACGTCATTGAACATATTAAAATACATAATTTTTGTTCACCTATGACAGACGTATAACGATTTGATCTGCTTAGGTTAATTCCTGCTGTTACGTGGAATTAAAAAAGGATAATATTCAAAAATACGAGAAACAAACATACAACGTTAATGTATTTAAAACACTACTACTCTTGAATCATGCTACCAAACCATGCTTGTGACTATTTTTATTGTAACTTTACCTTTAACAAACTTTCAATATACTACCTTGATAGACACCAGTAAAACGTTGTAATTTATTAAGGCTTGTAGCCATAAATATGAAAAGTTTTTAGTGTAAAAAAAAAACAACAGAAAACGCGTATTCCGGATAAGACTAACCCATTAGATACCAAACCAAGAGAAGAACTGCTTCAGAACCGGTTTTATTACAGGTTACTTTTTCTAATAAGACGTAAAACTAATTCCCAAACTTGGATACAATAACATTTTTATTTATTAAAAATGTTTGTTCCAAAATAGTGAAATCAAAATTTATGTGGTGCGCACGAGAAAAGATATAATGAAAAATTACTTTTGCGGAATACAGTGTATATTATAAACATTTTATACATATCTATCAAATAAGATATTTCAATAAACAAATATTTTTTGCTTACCATGCGCTTTGTACATGTATATATCAATAATTCAAAA